CTCCGATAACAACAAGATCCGGCCGCAGAGTAAGATGGCCCCAACATTATGTCGCTACGATTTCTTATTGATGATCTACTATTTTAAATATTAATTATAACTTCTACCTCACTGTATACACATGCATTATTAAGCTTGCGTTATACGCTATAAAACTCAACGCATCTTATGTACCCTTACACTTATGCGTATAATTTTTGCTTAAAACGTAAAGGCAATACCCCATTCCTTCTATTTCTTGCTATTATTTTATGTAACCTCACGGACGGGCACAAATCAAATGTACAGCACACACTAACTTCATCTTAATTTTGTATAAGCTATTTTTTTCAAACCATTGAAACTACCCTATTCAGTCTACTATTTTTTTGTGCAAACACAGACACTTTTCCATATATCTTTGTTTGCAGGGGGGAGCTATTATAGCGACTCACGTGCAAATGGGTTTATTCTCATTTAACTCAGTTAAGCCCTTTAGCTAACTTATTTAGCGGACAAAGCCATCCGCACTATAACAATTTATTGTACCCTTATTATTATTTTGTGCTTGTATGAAATATGCATGCTTGAATATTGCTTACGGCCTACGCATTTATTCACTCCGCTAGTCTTACTACTAACCGCTTGTTTGATTCGATTACTCATTAATTTCACATGCTATATATATGTCCATGTTATTCATATGGCTGACTCTGCTTTCTCGCTCGTTTGATTGTACTCGATTACTTATATTCGCTCAGTCGCTTGCTTGCCTGTTTGCTGTTCGGCACAACTCTTAATGCTCGTTAATGCATCTGTAATTTTGGATATATGTGTGTGGTCTCGCAATAAACGTAATCAACACTTTGTATTTGCCTTCTGATTAATATACCGTTGGGACGTTATATAGAACGGTTAGCAAGACGAACTGTATACGAAGTTAAGGATTATATCGGATACCGACCACCACATGCTTGTAAACAATTGAATATTCTAATTGTATGATATTCAAAGAATCAATTGAGCATAGACTTTGTATATTTCATCCTACTAAGATTTCTTTTGATTGGAATATTTAAGTGAATTTCGAAACGATATAAACAGACATAATAATGAGGTTAACAAATTATCAATACAGAAATTAATAATGATTTACTGATTCTTCATCAATAATCACTGGGACACTAATAAATGGAAAAAAGAATTATAAGATCTATTTAATTAATTGTTATTGGTTAATAATAATTTGGGTTTCAATATTCAATTTGAAAATATTGAGTTGCATTTATAGATTTTTGAATACGATTATAACCAAAGGTACAAATCATTTTCAGATCATGTAAATAATGAATTATGCGTTTTTTTGTTACCGGTATTGGACTATCAACAAAAGATACCCTGTATCGGAGACAATCGCAAAGCAGAAGTTCGATAGTCAATATAGTCAATATAGCACATAGTGATAAAATAGAACTCATAACTAATTGCTAACATAAATCAGAATGATTGTATTCTCATGTCATAACTTTCAAATAGCATTTTAAATGTAATAGTTTTCTAGCTACTATTATTAACACAATGAATGTTGATTATAAAATTATTGAATTTCCTTTTGAAGCATTTGTAATATCAGTCAACTTTTAGATAGTCAGTGTAATAAAAAGATCAGTCTTGTAGTGACTCTGTATTATGACAGGTTAATATATATATATATATATATATATATTTAAATTATGTAGGGTCTTATTAAATTACACTGTTAAATGTATCAAAATAGTGTGGTTTTATTGATGGTAACAAGTGATAGAATTTTGGCCAGTTTCTAATATGAAATCTCATCAATAAATCTGTACATGATCCGTCAACCAAGAAAAAAGCTTTACCTATAGGCTTTGATTTGCTTTAATTATATAGAAAAACATTACTAAAGTAAACACTCAACTATGAAAAAAAAGATCAAACAACAACGGGAATAATAAGATGGAAACCTGATGAGACTAGTAATTGGACTAGACTAAAAATTCAAAATTGTTGCAATTAGTCTAATGTATGTGACATAACATCCAATTAAAAAGTCTGTTTTAATTATTTAATTGTAATCTATTGCGTGATGAGACATTTTATCAGATGGTAAACAACTGTATATATATATATATATATATCGTTTCTGTTTTACGTACGACGGACACTTGTCAAAGTCAGCTATTTTGTAACATATTTTGCATTGCAAATAGTCGATTGAAGAGGTGATGAATTTTCTTCAGGTGAGTTTGAAATGTCTTCACTGACATGGATAAGAGATTTTCATAACAGTCAATCAATACTTATATAAACATTTTAAAGTACATTGTGTATCGTTCTCTACTTTACTATAATGCGAAATCTACTCAATCACTTAAGATTAGACCTGGTACATTCAGAGGATAACGTGGATGATTTCACTTTTTTGAATGTTAAACAAATTTCAAGTGCAATGTTTCTTTTCTTCAGCAGTATTAGAAAGTTAAAATACTGATACATGTTTGGTTATCTCTATCAAGCTTGGAATCCACCTGGAAGCACTGGATTGCCGTTTTGTCCTAATATGGGACTTCTTGGCGGTGCGCATCCATGGTCCTACCCCCAGCGAGATTCGAATCCAGGACCTGTCAGTCTCGCACGCGAGCGCTCAGACATTAGACCACTGAGCCGGCTGGTATCCAACCGTGTTAATGTCTAACTTCAACCAATCTATGAAACTGCGCCACCGTCACCATGGATGAGCACTGCTGAGGAGTCCTATACTAGGGCGAACCGGCCGTCCAGTGCTTCAAGGTTTTCCATGGTGGTCTAGTTTCAATTGACTTATGATTTCAACTGTTGAAATTACTGAAATCTCCACAAAACCCTTTCTGATAATAATCTTTTTTTACCAAAAGTTAACACTAGTTAAAAATAAAATAACTTTCCAATACTCCTTTGATTTTCATCAGTTTACAACGAAATATCGATTAGTAAAAAATACCACTTAAAAATCGCATAAAAACTACCATCTAAGCAATTCAGTAGTTTACTATGTTTGATTTGGTTAGAGATATTTGGTACTTGTGTTGTCTCTTCTTTCTTAATTTTGAAAAGTTAAAAAAAATTAAATTTCCTCGAGAGTAATTGACTAAAATGCGGTGTATTGTCTTTATGCCGTAAAAGTATTTCAGGCTTTTTAGTATGCAGTTTTCAGCAACATTTATTTCTATTGATCAATTATGATCCAAGTAGGTCGCGCTAATCACTCTCTTTGATCATAAAAGTTATTCATTATCCTGATTGTAAGAAGCAGTAAGAAAATGGTTATAACTTTGTTGCCAAATCATCTAATTGGCTAAATGTTTTGATAATTTTATAAACAGAATATTAAGTTGAATCATTATTTATAATAATTTAATTTGTAATGATTTGGAGTGAATATCAACGCTTTAGCGCCGGTACATCCAATTTACGAATCTCAAAAAGGATGACATGTGCGACCTTGATTCAACTATTAGTCACATTTCACTTGTTATGTCCACAAATTGACATGATTCACTTTCAAAACAGACTTAAAATAGTTTATGTATTAATAGATATGGTTAAAGTTTACGTTAGTGTCAGGACGTTAAACAATCGATAGTTATATATAACTGAAACACATGAATGAAATATGGAAGTTGTTAGGTTGAAATCGTTTAAGCTGAGATCTATTTCCATGTCATTAAACTGAAAAAAGATTTTGATAGAAACATTATACCATAGCCATAAAACGTCTGTAACCAGATGTTACGAAAACATGGTTTGCAACGATTCTTATTATGTAAACCTAATTTTGAGAAAAAGGTCATTCAAACGGGTTTGACTATTCTAGGCTAGCTAGATGAAAAAAGATAAATTGTTCATACAAGCAAGTATATGGCAGACTTTTCTCAAAGCTGATATTCAAATCATAGAATAGGGAAATATATTTATTTTTTTAATCATCAATGATAATGCTTAATTTCCCTGTAACTATCATGTTTACCCAGTAAAAAAAATAAACCTATTAAATAAATATTGGTTCAACATCATCATCAATATCATATCATTATTATACCCTTGTTACTGTGTAAATTGGCATAAAAGAAGATAATTTAGAAACTAGCATACCATTCCATCATATTGATGAATAATAGCCGTTATGAAGCTGAAAAGAACTATGAATTTAAGTAACCAATGTTTAACAGTTTTATCAGTTGGTCATTACAGTTTTTACACTGTGTGAACATATTAACAGAATACAAAATAAGCGATTCTCATGGAGTGTTGAATTGTGTTTAAAGTTTTCTTTTTGCATACTTAATAGAATACACTGATAAAATACACGAATGTGTTAGTTCACGTAGCAATGTACACATCTTGAGAAAATATTTTTAAAAAAACGCAGGCTTCAATTTGGGATACACAAACCTTGTGCTTAGTTATAACAATATTTGTTCGACGTAAAACATTTGTAATTCTATCTAAATTTTAAAATCATTTCAAGGGTACAAATGGATGTGAAAAGTTGATAACTTTCTAATGTCATATTTTGTTTAGTTATGTAAACCAACTGTCACAGTAAACTGTAACTTTGAGAATACAAAGTCACCTTATATCTCAATGATCATAATTATCGATGGATATTTACCTAAACCATAAGAAAAATGTTCAACATTTAAATGTATTCGTTTAATTTTTAAGAGATTTCGACGATACTATAATTTATGGACGAACGAATTAGATATAAGATAACAGGTCTCGGATTTTGGCGCGAAATTTATTCCTCCATTTAGATAAACAGAGTTTTGGCATTATAGCTGATGTCAGTTCGTGATGAAAAACCGTAAATCTAATTTCTAACCTTAATTATAATTCTTCATACAGACTTATAACTCTCATTTGGTTCTGGTTATTAAGTGGACACTCTCTCTAGGTCGGTCTAACGTCACTCAAAGATCATTCATAAATTATAGTCTAATCAAGATTTCACTTACTTTTATACTTGTAGGCATTTCTAATAAAATTGGAATAGTATTTCCAACAGAATGACAATCTCCATTCCATACTGGTGATATTGTTCCTTGATTAAATTCAAGATTTGTATTTCTAGACCATTGTTCATGTAATATTAATGGACCAATTGTATCATTAATTGTATTAGATGTATTTATTCCATTTAAATAATTTATAATACATGGATTAGTTAAATTATTAAGATTAGGCTGTTGTATACCTAATGTATGCGTTGACCATGATGGAATATTTGTATTACCATTAGGAATTTGAAATGAACAAAGAGTTTGAGATTTTTGATTATTTGGAAAATTTAATATACCTTGTAAAATATACACCATTTCATAATTTTAATATAAACTATACATATATATATATATTAATATATAAATATAATTCCAGAATATAACTAATATAAGTAGTATATGTAATTTCAGTATAATTTCTCTGAATAGTTTCAACAAAGTGAATATTGAATGGATCTAATCAATAATAAGGATTAATATATATTCTACTGTATGATCTTAATTGATAAAATAAGCATTGACAACTAAATTTATTCAGAATGATTGAAATAAGTGAATACTAATGAAATAAATAAATGAAGATATTAAGGTAAATAAATAATTACTTTTGATAATTTATATTATGAGCTTATTTTTTGAAAAAAAAAGAATTAGGTCAAGTGAAATTTTCTAGAAATTCCGGTTCCATTATTTACCTGATCACTTATCTTTTATGATATATACTCATTATCCAGTGTTTACAGACATGCTCACCTAGATATATATATAAAGTTATCCCAGTTGTTAACAGTGACAGTTAACTAACCAATCACATTTTCAATCAACTGCCATATATGAGCTCATTCTGTCTACACTTAACCATATTATCTGTCGATACATATGCACATGAATAGTCGGGCAAACTTGAGTAAAATCAAATACATATATATATACACTAACAACTAAACCTGTAATAGACTCAACAGAAGTTCTTTTTTTTTTTTATAAAATCATTTTGATTAGTTTATTCCCATCGACCAGTATTATTAGATGGATTATGTTTTAATTGAAACAGTATATATATATGTATATTAACTAGGCATTTATGATTATCACAATGTTAACAATCAAACATCAAAAAACTATTTGACTTGAAACTGTGTATAGAATAAGTTAATATTTGGCAATAAAATCCTTTTTACTCTCTATCTGACAGTAGAAAACGGAAATTCATCAACGTACTGCAGTATAATTTCATTTAGGTCTGGCTTAGGGAAACAGATATATATATATACATATATGCAACCACGTTGTCTAACCGGAAATTGTTTCAAAATTATGTGCATAATCAAACAAGGTGCCTAACAAAAACTATAAATGCAGAGTTGAAGAGTTTTTTTGACATCTCAATCATTTTAACACAAATATCATATGTAAATAAAAAGAATTTTAATCTCTTATTCTAACATAATTCCATATCACTTTGTTAATGTTGATATTTTCCAAAGGTTACTTATAACTTTCCATTATCTTTATCAATATCTATTTAATGTTTCATGATTTTGTTTGAATGTTATCTCACATAACAATACAATGATATTTATTGTATTCTCTGACCAAATTGTTTTTCTTTATTCTAAATTTATTTATTTATTTGAACACATAAATACTGGTACAAGGGTACACCCGATACATATGCGCCACAAACATTTCATTAGAATTGTGTGAGGGCTGTAATATTGCCTAAGTGCTCAAGCCGAAGTAGGTGGTTCTCTTAGGGGGCCACACATGGAGCCTTCGACCGCAAGGTCGGGTTCACAAGGCAGTGGAGCAACAACAGGAGATGCAGTCCAATTGGTAGACGGTGACCAACGATTGGTTCATACATCATTTGTTCCCTCTGGGTACTAGAGCCCATGTGCCTTATTGGTTTGGAATCAGGGTTTTCCAATCCCCTAGGTGAACTCTCCGTGTTCACCAACCCGGTTAAAACGCTGAACGTTCGTTTTTCGTCCTCTCAATTGCGTAAACAACACCCGTGGTGCGAGAAGTCAGTGATTAAGACTTCCCTGACAGTGGTTGTATACACGTGGTCATGTGAAAGCATTTCGAGAAAGAGAGCGGACTCTCCCCACCCTTGGTCGTACCAGGGAACTTGGGGAACCGCCATATCAAGACATTTGGGAGCCAGCCTTGCTAGGGCATTTGGTGGCAAAAAATATAACTTGAGAGATTAACGTTTATACAATTTTACATGAACTGATGCAAAGCATCATTTAATTTGAGAAAGGTTTTAATTTAAAAATTATTATTTCTCTTAGACGTTTATTAAGATGTATATATATGATATGTGCAACTGATATCGACAGATATAAGTAGTATACATCATCAATCGAAAGTGAAATACTTGGCAGCAAATGTTAAGAAGATCGAAAAAAAGTGAATGAGAACATAAAATGATTGCTGTAGAAATAAAGGAATAGTGAAATCTGAAACGATTGATTGACATTTTTCAAACGCAGTACTTACAATCTGGTTTTCAGATTTTACTAAGATGTTCTGTAATTTAGTATTCAAATACATTCGATTGTCCCCACTTGTGTTCTCATTCACTATAAATTAACAGGTTTGCAATGCTTAAGTGCTCGGTATACAGGTTTAATTAAAAATCACTTCATCTTTAAATTAGTGATCGATTAAGAAAGATAACAATTTTGTTTACTAAGTTACTTGTAACTCATCCAAAAACCAGTAAATGAGTTTTTTTTTGTCTTTAGACAAAAGAAGACAGTCACTGATCTCACATCTTACTGGTTGCTGTCAAATATTCTCAATGATTATTTGATTTCATATTTGATTTGGATAACAACTTTCTGAAAGCTTTAAACAAATCCTCCTCATACCAAAATCCGTTTTCATTTACTTATTTGTTTTAAGGATATACTTAAACAACAGTACCTAATATTGATGGAATTTTGTTCTTTGAGCTGAATGTTTTGGTCAAATAGCCTTGTATTTGAAGTTTGTGCTGATGATGTCGTTCAGAAGTACGATGGAAGCTCCAAGACCAAATCATCTAGCTCACATAACAAAACTCCATCAAAATCATCCACCTGAGCCATAAATCTTCTCTACTATCTCAGTACCTAATTTGTATAGCATAGTTTCTATCATTATTATAAATTTGATCAAAAAATTCTTGCTGTTTTCTAGTTTTTACATTTCGTACGATTGCAGTGAAGTTAACATTCAACTATTTCACTAAATATTTTATGTTAACTTATAGTTTTCAATGTACCTTTTTTGTCGCATTCAACTGAATACAACTTCTATCTATTACAATATGATTTCACTGCATTAGTCTCATCTATTTCGTTTGTTAGTTGAACTAGGATTTAAAATGATAAGAAATAATGATAATGAAAATTATTAATTTACTACAATTATATCAAAATGATAGAAATTCAGTGTAAAACAAATTGTAACGTCTATATTGTAACATCCATTTATATACTAAGCATGTTTAATTACAGTGTATCAATCTGGATCTTTTAGAACCATGTCATGATAAGTACTTTCTTGAATATTTTTTCATAGAAAATCGAAAACAAAAGGGAACACAACGACAATTGAAATATGATTACGTATAGAAAACTATTATGTAATCCAATCTGTTTTGGTCACATGGATTTGTTTACAGAGTGAACAAGGCTAGGACTGAATGAGTTTTTCGTATCAATAGTGTTGTATTCAATACGGATCATCAGTGAAATCTTAATCTATTTAATCTTATTTAAATATAATGTTCCATAACTGTTGAACATTCTGTTGGTGATCATTGTAAAATAAACGTGAATTTATTGTTGTAGACCATTGGGAATGAAAGATTTCTTTGATAAACGTCTTGTTCCTATTTTTAACCAGTGGATAATAATGTTTAAGAGCCGATGGTTTGTGATCTGGATGACTTAACCGTATACCATTAATTGTTTTTGTAGATAACATCATCTACGAATATTTTAAGAGAAAACTAATCATTAAGATATCTGCATAAAAACCATTTGCTTGTTTGATTGATTTGATTTTTTCTTATGACGTGATCTGATTTTTGACCACAGAGTTAATTTGTCATTTTTCTATTGTTATCGTAAAGTGTTGTGATGATCGTGAAACTTCTTGTCTTATATCTTGGTTTGACTTTACTCAGACAACAATTGAAAGACAAGAACCAGCGAACAACTCCACAAGAGTCTGCAGTTACAACGACACCAAGAATCAAAATGATAACCTTTTAAATGTCATTCTAAGTCGATAGGATTATCTTGAATGGTAAAATGATAAACAAATTATGTTAATTTTTAATATCAGATGGGTTTTGTGGATATTATAGTAGTTTAAATGGTTAAGATCATGATTCAGTTGAAGCTAGACCACTATGGAAAACCTGGAAGCACTAGACGGACATTTCGTTTTATTATGGGACTCCTCAGCAGTGCGCATCCACGACCTCGCCCCCCGCGAGATTCGAACCCAGGACCTAATGGTTTCGAGCGCAAGCACTTACCCACTAGACCACTGAGCCGGCCGGCATTCAGCGGTGTTAATGTCTAACTCCAACTAATCCACCATTGTCTCACAACAGACCTGGTTGAACTCCACTGGTCAATACTTCTCACTAGAACTCCAGGATACACCTCTTGAGGCCAGTCACTAGTGATTAATATCAGATGGGTTTTGTGGATATCATAGTAATTTCAATGGTTAAGATCATGAGTCAGTTGAAGCTAGACCACCATGGAAAATTAAATAAATATTAGTCAAATATCTGAAGCACGCTAACAAAAATGCAGTTATAGTATCCACAATGATTTTTTTTAGAATTTATGTATACTGTACATGAATACCTTAAAGGTACATTATTGCGAAAAAATCTAAATTGTATTGTGATTACTTCAACCTATGTCATTTTTCATTCTTTCGAAAATTGTACTCCGATTTTTTAATCAAAAATGGGGTACATTAAAAGTTTCAAGTAAACTAAAACTGTCGTTCAATGCTCCTTGTTTTTTGTTTTAATGAACCTTCTTTTAAGATCAGTTAATGATAAAAATTTGTATTATTTTTGATGTAGATACAACTAATTTTTTCCCATTCATTCATCTACCGTCCTATAAAGACATAACTTTCATAAACAAAGATGGATGATGTCTAACGATGGAATCTAGAATGCGCGTTTCAGCTTATTCAAAAGTCGTCTACTGAATGTATCTGCATCCCAATGTTGATATTTACTCCGGGACGAAACGAGCGTCCTAGATTCCACTATTAGCTATCAT